TCACACAAAACTTAGCAGATTTTCAAAAAATTGTATGTAGGTTGTATAGATTGTATAAAAAGAAAGGAAAACTATTTCTGAAAACTGGATGTGAAAATAAGTCCATTTATTGTTTAAAAATAATGAAACAGAAAGAAAAGCCGAACTACACCTTACCTTTGAGCTCCTAGTTCCCTCAGTTCATGCTGTTCATAATTTATAGACAGCTTCTCCTTCTGGGCAATTCGATTGAGAAGGCCTATGTAATTCCCAATGGCTGATTCTTCTGAAGTATCTTGTGCCATCAAGGATGAACTACTTGCCTACAATAACAACAGCAAAACTGTTTAATATAAGTGACATAAAGATTTAAACCCTTTTTTGAGCTGGGTGTGGTGGCACACGCTCGTTCTGTAATCTCAGCGCTTGGGAGGCTGAGGCAGGAGGATCATAGTGAATCTGGGCCAGGCTGAACTACATGTCGAGACCCTGTCTCAAAAGACAAAAACTAAAGATAAAAAAAGATGTAAGCTTTTCTCTAAAAGTAAAATTACTAAATGAATAATTTGAAAAGGAACTTAGATCTTATGTATTTCCCAACTATGTGACTTTAAAAAGGTAATATGCACTTGGTGAAAATATAAGTATACATTCTTTACCACAAAAAAGAAATCTACAATAAGTTTTTCTTTTAATTAAAAAAGTAAACCAACAAATAAAAATTATATGTATTTATTGTATATAACATGTTTTGAAAAATATATAAAATGCTAAAGGGAGATAATTAGCATGCATCATCTTACTTATCTCTGTTTTTTGGTTGTAGAAACACTTAAAATCTACTCTCTTAGCAAGTTTCAAGTACACAAGATATTAATTCACCCATTTTCCTTTCAGAGTTTCATTAAGAAAAAATAAGACCGTGTATTCTTTTATTTGTTCATGCAAATTATAGTAACACTTTACTGTATATTTTCTAAATCTCAAAAAACAGGGTAACAGATGTTAAAGCAAAGTTATATCTCAGATTGCAACCTAGTGGAAAAGACGAATAAAACATAATCATTCCTACTATTTTCTATACCTTTTTTCTTAGTCTGACAAGTGTT